GGGAGAGGCGTGGGTACATGGGGGGGTACCATATATATATATATATAAATATATATATATATATATATATATATGAGTGTATGTACCTAACAACCTACCGATCTATGTATCCGACTGTCTATCTGTCTGTCGGTCTATCTGTCTATCTATCTATGTATCGATCTATCTATCTGCCTGTCGTTCTATATATCTATCTGTCGATCTATCGATCTATCGGTCTATCGCTCTGTCGATCTATCCATCTACTGTTCCATCAATCTATCTAACGTCTTTAACTATCTATGTACCTATCGATCAATCTATCTACCGATCTATCTATCTATCTATCCATCTATCTATCTGTCTGCCTGTCGCTCTATGTATCTGTCTGTCGATCTGTCGATCTATCGGTCTATCGATCTGTCGATCTATCAAGCAATTATTCTAATAATCTTTCTAACTGTCTAACTAACTTTTAATCTGTCTATTTATCAATCGATCTGTCTTGTGGTACGGCAGCAGCGAGGCTGAGATTTCTTTCGTGTTTGAAGTCAGACATTCCGCGAGTGCGAGCCCCCAATCCCAAATCGGAAACAAACAAACCACCCCCAAGCACACTTAAGATGTTGCTTGTTAAGTATTTGCAAACTCCTTAGCCTATAATCTTGGGCTTAGGCCTTACACACAAATCCTGATAAGCCATATCCATATAGACAACCCCGAAGCCACGAGGACCGTAATCAAACAACCATCTGTGAAGCCTCATTTTCATCTGGAGCAAACCCTAAACCTCCAACCCAAACACCCAAAGCCGAATGAAACCATTAAGCCCTACGTTAACCCTAAACATAAACCCTCAAGGCCGAAACCCTCAAACCCTGTAGCCATCAACCCCAAAGCCTGAAACCCTCAACGCCAAAACCCTGAAACCCTAAATCCCAAACCTTGAAGAATGGCCTCTGCCATGGCTGCCAGGGTCTCCAAAGCTATGGCTGCTTTGCCCTGCTGTGCTGCAGCCTTCAGTGAAGCCTTTGTGGTGTGGTTTAAGGTTGATTGGCTTTGCGTCTTCGGGGTTTGGGGTTAAAGGCTTGTGTGTTTATTGCTTTCAGGCTTTAGCATGTAGGGTCTCAGGCTGGAAGCATGACGGTTCTGGGTTTGAGGGTTTGCGGAGTTTGGTGTGCTTTTTGAATTTAACTGAGGACCCTAAACCCTAAACCCTAAACCCTAAACAGGGTTTTGTCAGGTTCGTAGCATCTGTAGCTTCTGGACTTCAGGGGTTTCGTAGGTTCAAAGTATAGGGTTTAGGGCTTCTGGATCCTGAGGTTCTACAAATGTATAGGAAAGGTTTAGGGTTCAGGGTTTAGGGTTTAGGGTTTAGGGTTTAGGGATGTAGTTTACGATCTCAATGTGTGTCTGGTGCTTAGATCTGGGCTAAGTGGGATTTGGGCTCTCTACCAGGGTTTAAGGTTTAGAGTTTAGGGTTTAGGGCCCAACTTATTTAGGAGTCCTAAACCTGAAAACCCCCGAAACCTTTTTTGAACCCAGGCTCTTTGCTATCAGCTGGGCAGCAGGCATACCTAGAAACCAAACCCTGATCCCTAAAACCTACGCCTTGATCCACTTGGGGGTTTCCGGAAATAGGGGACCCCAATATAGTACCCTAAATAATAGGATCCTTCTTATAAGGACCCCAAGACCAGGTACCCCTAATTTTCGGAAGCTCCCACTTTCCAAGCGGCATTGACGCTCACGGTGTCGCGCCGGACCGCAGCACCTGGCAAGTGCGGACCCCTTGGTACCCTACCCAAAGGGTCTAAGTACCCATATAGTAGGTGTTTTGGGCCCCAAAGTAGCTACCATAGAAGTACTTAGACCCTTTGGGCTAAATCCTAAACCCTGAACCCTAAAATCCGGTTTTTGGGGTTGCCTAGGGTTCAGGATCCACCGTTCGGGGTTCATGGGCTCTGCAAGAGCTTCTACTGAGAAGGGCAGGGTTCAGGGTGTTGGGCTTACAGGACCTCTGTGGAGTCCAAAACCCAACTGCACAAGTCTCATCATGCACTTCGCTACATGAAGCCGGCTAGACCGAAACTGAAGACCCAGTAACTCTGCCTGAACCGGCAATCCCGAAGCATCGAAAATCGTGTACCCTGGTACTCGATCTCGGCCCCCGCCACCCCACGACGTCTCCACAACTCAGTGAAACCCTAAACCCTAAACCCTAACCCTAAACCCAAAACCCTAAACCCAAACGCCAAAGCCTGAACCCTAAACCGGCATCCCCAGCCTGGCATCTCCGCGAAAACCACCAAGGCCCACTGCCACGCCGACGCCTGATCCCAAAGGGTCTAAGTACCCATATAGTAGGTATTTTGAGCCCCAAAGTACCTACCATATAAGTAGGGTTCAGGGTTTAGGACTTAGCCCAAAGGGTCTAAGTACTTATATAGTAGGTACTTTGGGGCCCAAACTACCTACCATATAAGTACTTAGACCCTTTGGGGATGCCACTGCAGCTCGCTATACGACACGCGGCTTGCAGGTTGAAGGTAGGGCTTTAGGGTTTTAAGGGTTTAGGGATTTAGGGTTTTAGGGTGGGTTTAGGGATTTAGGTTTTAGGGTTTGGGATTTAGGGGCTTGGGGGTTTAGGGGTTTAGGGGCTTGGGGGTTTAGGGTTTAGGCCCGAACTGTTCGCAGCAGCATCCACGTATGGTCCCTGCTAGAATCTTTGTGCAATAAAGCCAGTTGAGGCCTAATCTACACGGCTTTACGGTTCGTATTGTATCGGTGGTTTGAGTTTGATTATGCAGAAGTTTGGGTTTGAATGTAAGGGTTTGGAGTTTTGGGGCTTGAGACAAAGCTTTTTTGGTAAGTTTCCGTCATGAGCTTCAAGGTTTGAGCATTGCAGGCTTACGGGGTTTGGGGTGCCGGACTTTCGTCAGCAGTCAGTTGAGCACGTGAAGCTGCTGGTGCCTCCGAAGGCAGGAGTACGACAGGTCACTGGCCTGAACCCTAAGAACCTAAATCCCTACACCCCAAAGCCCTAAACCCTAAAGCCCTATAAAACCCAAAAACCCTAAACCCGAAACTCCTCTAGGTTGCATCACTTGTCCAACCCTATGAACCCTAGACCCTGGAACCCCACATGTGGAGCTGTAGACAGGTCTATGGTTTAGGGTTTGGGTTGAGGGCTTAGGGTTAGGGTTAGGATGTATGGTTTAGGGTTTTTCGTATAGGTGTTAAGGCTTAGGGTAGTTTAGGGTATAGGGTTTAGGGATACACACAATGAACAGTAAAAACCCAAACACGCTGCCGTCGTCCAATTATCCAAGGATCCATGCACTGAGCATCAAGTTCTTGAATTACAGCAAGGCACGGATACCGTAGAAGATGCGGGATGATGTCATGTCATGTTCATACCTCAACATAGCCTACCTATCATGACCTGCTTGTTGTCGGATTCCTCTCATTGCTTATTGTCTATATTTCAGCCTTGGCAATATAATCTGCTAAACAGGAAATTGTGCTGGCTTAAGGTATGGCCCCGGAGACGTAAATAAATACTCCAATGCAGACGGCATCGGCTTCAGCCGTGGGGAGAGAGTCTTAGACTCAGGGATTGGGGCCGAGGCTTGTTGACCGAAGCATTCTGAAAATCGACCGATCGCGCCAGTCTAGCTGCCCAAAGGGTCTAAGTACGTATATGGTAGGTACTTTGGGGCCCAAAATACCTACGAAATGGGTACTTAGACCCTTTGGGCTGAATGTGTGGCACTATCGCCCGCCTGCGCGCATGCGCTGACGGCCTCAGTCGATCGTGCGAGATCTGGGATGCAGGATGGCGCAGGCAGGGGATGGCGTGCAGGGCTACTGCCCCAGGTGCCGGGTCCAAGCCCGCAGATTGGTACGGCCCGTCCAAAGAGCTCATCCTCCCTGCCAATACACTACTTTGTACTATACGTGATTAAAAGAACATACATGCACTGGGGATAGCGGTCTACAGTTGTATACTGACTTATACTTAGTCATATGTTGGGATGGTTCTTAGCCCTATGCTGTAGCCCTGTCAACAAAGGTTTACATCCTATGCTGTAGCCGCAAGTACTGGAATGGGTAGGTAGTCATATATGATATGTCCCCGATATTAACCTGCAGCGGTATCTTTAAACTGCTAGTGCCGTAGACGCCGCAAATATGTCAATGGTCTGTTTGACCCATTACAGGAGGGAAACTCTCGCAGATGTCAAGAAGAAGCCACAACTGAGCCTTTGCTGTCACCAGGGGAAATACATACACGGCCTGCGACAGCTGCAGAACTTTCCGAAGCACGAAACACAGAAACAAATAAACTCGTGTAAACAGCACCTGCGCACGATCATATCCACTCATTAGAGCTTGTTCTCCGATTCCACCGCAACGAATCAAGCGGGTTTTTCAACGGAAATCGAGCGGAAGCCTAGCACACACAAGGAAGCCAAGGAGAGGACTGCATTGTAGCTGAAGGATGTCGGCTGCACCTCGCGTTGATCTCGAAACTCAGGGCTTAAAGTATTTCCCCTCCGACCGGCTGCGTCAACACTCATGGATAGGTTTAGGATCAGGGGTTCAGGGTGGGTTTAGGGTTAAGGGTTGCCCGAGGCGCTGTAGAACTCAAAGCGAGAGGTGGCAGGTCGCTGAAAATCCCGAAAAAGGGTACATGTTCCCAAATAGTATATACTTTGGACTTATCGTAGTCCCTATATAGGTATCTATACAGCCCAAGGTATATATTGTTTGAATGCGTGATGGGCCCTTAAGCAATGGAAAAAGACGGCGAAAGCAGGCATTCGGAACTTGTATACGGGCGGCAAAATCGAGTGCAAGAGCGGCCAGGGAGGAAGTAACAAGTTGCGGGGCAAAATCAGTCCCAAACCAAGGTCCGCACGCCTCAGCCGAACTTTTGAACTGCAGAACCGGCCGACTTCTCATTGCTTCTGAGGGGCACTTCACTCTACTGCGAATATTCCGGCAAGTATAAAAAATCAATTTATGCGACAGTCTCAGAACTCTTTCAGAGCATGTGGCTTGAGGGAAGGCATCGGCTTGGAACCACCCACCTCCAAGCCCAAAGTCTTCCTGCAAGCCTGTACCCGGTGACATGAAACCTTCCCACACGCCCAAGTTGAGAGATCCATGTTGACCCATGAGACACTTTCTTCAGCAGGCTTGTCCCTAAACCCTAAACCCTAAACCCATCAAGCCCTAAACCTTTTTTTTTGAGCAGGGACTGCAATGCACTAAGCCCTGAATCCCTTCAAGCCCTAAACCTAAACCCTAAATTTCGACACTAATCAGACATGAATGCAGGCATGATGCCGATGCAAACGGCATCGAAGCCAGCATCACCAAAGCCAGCTGCCAAAGGCCACCCTGTTTAGGGTTTAGGGTTTAGGGTTTAGGGTTTAGGGTTTAGGGTTTTAGGGTTTAGGGTTTTAGGGTTTAGGGTTTAGGGCAGATTTCGTGCATCAACAGGAAGCCTTCGACCAGGATCCTCTGCTTTGCATGCTGACAGTTTGCAACGGAGGCGTGCCAACATGGACATGTGCTCCCCAAGAGACATCTGCACAAACAGGCAATCGAGGCTTTTAGGCTTTAAGGGGTCGGGGTAGCTCAACATAGGGGCCTTAATAATTAGAATAGGGTCTTGGGGGGTATACTATATACTATACTTATAACAAGGAGCCCCCCGAAACCCTGTTCTAATTATTAAGGCCGAAGGCCCCTACATCAGCTTCCCAGGTCCCTGCAGCCATGGACACCCTGCCGAGACTTCAACAAGTCTTCGGGAGCGGCCTTTTCGCAGGAGCTGATGACGCTTCGGAAACCTTTGGGCAGGCAGGAAAGCCTAAGAGGCCTAACCGATGGGTCTGAATGATAGCTCAAGGATAGCCCCTAATATAGTTATCCTAAAGTAAAGTGTACTTGGAAACCCCCAGAGAACCCAATAGCCGTTAAATAAGGAATATACCTTAAATTATAGGGGCCTTATAATCTTATGATTTAAGGTCTATTCCTTAATTAAGGGGTATTGGGTTATCTGGGCCCTTTTCTAGTTGCCCAGGCCCCTTTCTGTATAAAAACCCTAAACTGGGGAAATGGGGAAAGCGAGACCCCCGCCTTCAGGTCGCACTTCGCTCCCCTGTATGTGGGGTTTAGGGCTTAAGGGGTTTAGGGTTTAGGGTACAGGGTTTAGGGTTCAGGGTGTAGGGTTTAGGGTTAAACCTACCCTAAACCCTACCCCTAAAGGGCCCAAGTGCTCTCTATTGCAGGACTTTGGGTCCTGTTTGGGTACCACAAGACCATAAATAAGGACTACTTACTACTGAAGTGACTAGTTGGACCTTAGGGTAACCAATCCTGCTGTCAACCCTACATGCGGTAGTTCGAACCGTAAGCCCAAGACCCCATGCTGGGCTGTTGTTAGGAAGCATCAAGTTAAGCTACCATGGCAGGGATACCATGCTATTGACTCTACATCCCCATGCCTGTAGCTTGAAACTAAGCTCCTTAACAAGAGCCCGTATGTTTTCGAAGACATAGAGCTGAATCCAACAGAGCTCACTTTCCACCCAAGTGGCTCATTTCATCCGGGGCCAGGTGCTCCTCTTCAGAATGCTGGGCTTAGGGGAGAAGCGGATACTTGGAGGTTCGTGGGACCTAATAAATACGGTTATAAGTACCCTAATTGGGGTTATAAGCAGCGTTACCTTGTTATAACCCTAATTACTAAAGTCCCATGAGCCTTTAAGTAGGTAAATCAGGTTGATCACCAAGCCCTCACTTCTCAACTATTCAGTTTGCCTGACACCCTGGTAAACCGGAACATCACGTCTTGAAGGTGGGTGCCCTTGGAGTGGGCAGAATGCATTTCGTCTGTCTCTCTCTCTCTCTCTCTCATTCTATCGCCCCTGAAAGCAGACATGTAAATTGAATTCGCTAGCAAACCTAATCCTCACTGCTGAAGGCTCGCGGAGGTTGAGAAGTAGATACCCGTTCAGGTTACAAGTAGCTTCGTTGGGATATGATGAGATGTAGGTAGACGTACCTATAGGGGATCTTTCGATTGCAGTCTGTGCTCCATCTTAGCAAATGCTGGCCTTACCAGTGGGCCTGGCGTCCTAGCTTGACCGGAACGCCTAACATGCCCGAAACTTCGAACCCCAAACACAGCCAGCTAAAACCTGCACCCTAAAGGCCCAAAAATCCTGAACTCTTATCCTCAAATGCAAGGGCACGCCCACGCGGCTTCACGCACTTAGGCTGCCTCTCGCTCTTATACAATATGGTTGCGGGGCTGAGAGCCACGGCACGCGCCTCCAACATCTGTGACAACATCTGCGAAGTCCACCGCCACTGGGCAGAAGCTTCGCAACAGCCGAGGGCAGCATTGAAACCTCAAGCGGATGTTAGTGAGCAATGCAAGGAAAACCGCGACGAGCTTGCCGTGGATAATTTGCTCTTGCGATGCACAAACAAGTCGCTTCAAACAGAATCGAGGGTTATAGCACATGAAGGCGAAAGTCAGCAAGAGGATCAAGTAGGAATTAGAAGCACATTGGGGCCTAACCCTGGACTCCTAGCAAAAGGTGTTATTTGCAGGAACTTTTTGAGGCGGATGAGGTGCATCTTAATCTTACCAGAAGAACTTTCAGCTCCAAGTCCAAGGGCCCCACCAGGAACCTAACCTAAAGGGTACACTCCCTTGCATGAACAACCTAAGCGCCGAAACCCTAAAACCCTATGAAACCTAAAACCCTCAACAACCCCAGCCCTGAAGAACCCAAGGAAAAGTCTTGGGAAACCCTCAACCCGAAACCCTAAACGATAGTCTTCAGGAAGGTCTCCTCTGATTCGTCCAGGCAGCTGATGATGTCTGCCTCGAGATAAGGGGTTTCAGAAAGTTAAAGGGTAACCTTCTGTAGGTAGGGTTTAGGGTTTAGGGTTTAGGGTTTAGGGTTTAGGGTTTAAGGTTTAGGGTTTAGGGTTTAGGGGTCCTCGTAACACAGACTTTCCTCCTTGCAAGCTGCTGTAGTGCTAGGATCTGAGCTCCCGCAACATTTCCAAACTCCCGGATAGGGGGCCTTGTGGGCGATGCTCTTTGCAGAATATGGGGGACGCTGCCTACGAGGATACATTGAAGCAATGTACTTGGCACCGTCGTCAAGCTCTGAAGCGCGTCTGTGTTTGCATAAGCCCGCACGCAACGATGTACTTAAACTCCCGTTCTACGCTAGGCAATGGCCGGCTCCAGCACCCTGAAGCCCTGAAGCGTGCTGGACCGTTGACCTCTGGATGCAATATAGGGGCCGTAAAAATTAGAATAGGGTTTTGGGGCCCATTATACTATACTTAAAATAAGGAACCTCCAAAAAAGCATTGGTCATTGTTTAGGCCCCTACAGTTTCTGGTCGAACTGAATCTTTGGTATACTATACTTAAAATAAGGAACCTCCTCCAAAAAAGCATTGGTCATTGTTTAGGCCCCTACAGTTTCTGGTCGAACTGAATCTTTGGCATACTGTCAACCCCCCAAAAAATACTAAGCCACAGCCCCTGACTAAGAATTACTACAACGGAAGCCCCACTTGCCCGGTCTTGAACCCTAAGGTTTAAGGGGTTTAGGGCTTACCCTACATCCTAAACCCTAAGCCCTACCTAAACTTAGGGTTCAGGATTTAGGGGTTTAGGGCTAAATCCGGAAGGAGCAATGCCTCCAGCTGGTTCGAGGGCACCGCATGCAGTAGCGCAATCGCACGTTGCCAGGGCTGCCAGATATTAGGACTCCTGGATGCAAAGCGGACCCCCTTCAAACCGTCTGTGGCTTTCCCTAAGGGTCCAAGTGCCCAAATATTAGGGTTTCAGGGTCCAAAAACCACTCAGAGTATGGATTTTGGGACCTGAAACCTTACTATTTGGGTACTCGGACCCTCTGGGTTTGTGAAGCAACACAGGCAGCAGTAATATAAGGATGAAGAAAACAAGCACAGCTACCTCGATCTTTTGTACCCTGTGCACACTAGGCTATATGAGCCACGGCACAATGAATCCTCATAGAAAATGGGTTCGTCGCGGAATCCTAAACCTCGGCCCTAAAAACCCAGAAGCCTGATCCAACAGCATCCCAATACGAGGGAGGTACAGTCCTGCAGCGACCTTTTTGCGCAAAGGCCTCTACTACATGGTTCGTACTCCACACTGGGGCCCCTTTCTGTTCCCCAAAATAGAACGGCACCCTTAGAAAAATGACCCTACAAGGAGACCCTAATTTTCAAAACTACCCAAATAGAACCCTTTTAGTACCCTTTATAGGAAACCCTATAGATCCCTTTAGCGAACCCTACTTTAGAGAACTGCCCAAATTTCTTTCAGAGCGCCAGCGCAGCTTCGCCGAAACCCTGGGATCGGCAGGAAGCTCCGCAGGGAGCTCGCATGCGCTGATGGTAGAGTTGAACCTTCCAGGCTTTAGGGTTTATAGGATTTATGGGCTTCGATCATCGCGGAAAACGTCCGAAAATCGTGAAGGGGGGTACTTCCCGAAACCTAAACCCTAAACCCTAAACCCCTAAACCCCTAACCCCTAAACCCTAAGTTTCGGGTCGAAAGCGTCGCTGTGCTTACGTGCCATGCGGCGAAATCACACTGCACTGCCGCTGCCGCTGCGTCAAACGGAGAAGGCCAAGCGCATGGAGCCAGGCCCCTGGTTTTCGAGTTTGAGGTTGAGGTTATAGGGTTTAGTTTAGGGTTTAGGGTTTAGGGTTTAGGGTTTAGGGTTTAGGGTTTAGGGTTTACACTCTCACAGCTGGGTATAGAGTTTAGGGTTTAGGGGTGCGGTAACTGTAAAGTTGAGGAGCTTAGGGTTTAGGGGCTTATAGGGGTTTAGGACTGCCGCATGGAGGCGGGTTCTTGAATTTGCGGGCCTCCTCTGCGCGAGTCCCTGTAGGATCTTGCTACTTGGGGTCGCAGATAGTTGCAGTGCGACTTTCTGGTATTATGGGCTTAGGGTGCAGGGTTTACGGGTTTAGTGCTTAGGGGTTCTAGAACTCTCACATCTGCTCAAGACTTTGCTTGCAGCCATGGGTGTGGAAAAAAACACCTCTGGTTGGAACGCCTTCCGCCAAGTTAACAGCGATGCAACAAACCAAGCCTGGCTCCGAAGTACACAAACTTAAGGTCGTCAAACACTTTCTGATCCTAAACTCTAAACACTGATCCCGTGAAAATCCGAAGCCATAAACCCCAATCCCTAACCCTAAACCTTAATCCCAAACCTTAAACCCTAATCCCTAAACCGCGAATAACCCCTCATCCCGAATCCCTCAACCCGAAGCCTTGAAGCCTTTTGCACTGACTTGTATGTACATGCCAAAACTAAACCCCAAACCCTAAGCCCCAAAGCCTAAAGCCTAAACCCTATAAACCCTAACTAAACCCTATAAACCCTGTAAGCCCTAAATCCTAAGCTCTAAGCTCTAAGCTTTAAGCCCCAAGCCCTAAGCCCTAAACCCCTAAGCCTTGATCCCAAACACCAAGCCCGACGCCGGCCCTGGACATGTGAAGCCACATCGAAATATCTCAGACTGTTATGAAGCTTCAAGCGGCAGTGGTAGGGCTCTTTAGGGTTTAGGGTTCAGAATGGCTTAGGGGTTAGGGTTCAAGTTTACAATGGCTTAGGGTTTAGGGTTCAGAATGGCTTGGGGTTTAGGGTTCAGAATGGTTTGCGGCTTGGAATGGTTTAGGGTGCAGGGTTTGGGAAGGCCGGCAAGGCTCTTGCTTGAAAGCCTCAACCCAATCAACAAAAGCCACGGGAACCGAAGGTTCATGATATTCTGATATACCGTGATGGACAGCAAAGCAAGCATGGGCACTACCTTTCCAGGCAACACATCTCTCTCACGAAGGCCCCAAGTCTAAAATCTTTGCACAGACGAATCCGAAACCCCCCCAAACCCAGGAGCCCAACCAACAAACTCAACCCTGACACCCTCAAGCGCGCTCTAATCTCGGGAGTCCCAGGTGCGGCTGTTGCCGCAGCTGGCCATGGAAGAGTTCAACCTTCGTGGCTCGGGGTTTCAGAGGTTTGAAGTAGAAGAAGCAACAGGCAGTGACCCTAAACCCCAAACCCTAAAGTAAGTATGAAATGAAGTCATGTCTCCCTAGCATCTCTACGACTCTAAGCATCCATGCAGCCATGCATCCTCATCCCCTCCCTCCCATGCTCTCTGTCTCTCTCGTTTATCTCTCACCCTCTCGCTGCTTATCTTTATATCTCTGCCTTTCTCTCTTCCGTGCTCTCTCTCTCTCTCTCTTTCTCTTTCTCTTTCTCTTTCTCTTTCTCTTTCTCTTTCTCTTTCTCTTTCTCTTTCTCTTTCTCTGTCTCATGCCATACCTCGCCAAGATATGCAGGAAGTCGAGCTACCGAAGCTACAGCGACCCCACGCGACGTGCCCAAGAGTCCTGACTTTCAATTTCTTCACCGATTCGAAGCATCTGCTGAAAGCCCTTATCAAGCGGCCAAGGCCTGCGCATAGCTAGCCAACAACCCTTCAAGTGCCAGACTCTTGGTAAGGGATTCACAGGAGTTTGGGTTTTTGGCTCATATTTCGAGTCCGGATCTGCAGAGATCCGGCTCTCTGCCGAAAGCTTCAGATATAGAATGCTCTCGATGCCATGCTGCGTATTCGCCGCCGAACGGCTCCTTCCTGAAGAAGTAATGTTACGGGCTTGAGGCCTGCACGCTACACAACTTGAGGGTCCGGACATGTGAGGTGATGTCTCTCAGCTTGTTCAGAACTCTTGGGCAAGCGACGTTGCAGTGGCGACTTGGACAGTGCTGGCGACACATATCCTTGGCTGCAGAATGCGTCGGAGAGCGAAGCTTAACTATGAGGTGCGAAGTGATGTCTACGCGGCATGCATCATCTGCGACACTTATCGCGAAATGCGCGTTCATCTAGGGGTTTCATCTGGAAGCATTCGTTGCTGGCTCGCACCTGCCCAAAGCTCGAACATCCTAAACGCCTAAGCCCCTAAATCCTAAACTCTGAACCCCGCCATACCCCACCCTTATACACCCCTCCGAGCAGCTCGAGCAGCTGCAGCGCCGTGCGCCAGCTGGCCAGTCTACAGGCAGAGATGGAAACGTTGTAACCTGAAGCAAGGTTACACTCTCACAACTCGGACAAGCCGCTTCAGGTTTGGGTTTCGGGGTTTACTGCTTACCCGCAGCCCATAAGCTTACACACTGGGATTGTCCAGGCTATGGCAGCTCAGTAAATGTGCTTGCCTGGCAGCTGATGACGTCCTTTTGGAGGCTCTTGTCGATCTCACGGAGGACGCACAGAGCCATTTTCCATTCGCCTCGGCAGCGCGAGGGTCTACAGGCCTGGGTTCCCCGAGTCATTAGACTTAAAAACAGACAGAAGGGTGGAACAAAGACAATAACAACAAAAACAATATAGTAAACCTGTAGGATTTGCTAAACCGTCAACCTGGTGCGCCTTTTGCTTTAGGACTAGGGGCGCACCCACTTATCGGGCCCTTGTGTCAGCATGTAGTCCCTTAACCTCAAACACCAACTCATAATCCTGAAGCCGTTACCTTCGGCTCCACCACACACTAAACCCTAAACCCTATATCCTAAACCCTGAAACCTATCCTAAAACCAACTAAACCCTCACAGAAATGACCGTCTTCATCTCAGCGGCTCCCCGATTCGCAGGCACTAATCGCAGCATTGCAGGTAACCAAGTCAGCTTCAATGCCACAACAAGGCCTTGGCTGCTATGGGACTTAGTAAGTACAGTTACAAGTACTTCAATTGGGCAGCACAATCACTCTGAGCTCCAAGCCTGTGCACGAAGTACAATTACCATGTGTATATATATATATATAACCCTAGATACCAAGTCCCATGAACTTTTAAGTACATCATAGGGTTCGAAATCAAAAACGCAAAAATCATTCTGCGATATCTGCTTGAAGCTGTGCTGCACAAGAGACGCGAGCTGCAGTGCCCTTGCCCATTCGGACGAGCGCCTGACTGGGATGTCCGGCTAGGGACACAGGTTCAGGGTCTAGGGTTTAGGGTTTAGGAATTGAAATTTGGGTTTATGACACTCACACTCGAGTTTAGGATTTTTCCCTCTCGGGTTTAGGATTTAGGGTTGAGAGTTTAGGATTCAAGGTTTAGGGTTTAGGAGTTATATAGGGTTTAGGGTTTATAGGAGTTTAGGATTTAAGATTGAGGGGTTCGGGTGCGGGCTTGCTGGCCAGGTTTGAGGCCTGGGTATCGGACTTCGAAGATTAAGCAGCACTTATGCGTCTTCGCGGTATTGTAGGCTTGGGGTGTAGGTGCCAGCGCTGCTCACAGTGTCAGCGAATGTGCCGGAGAGCTAGGTTGAGAGTTCTGAATGTTCAGGTCTTCGGGTATCAGAGTTTTTAAGGCTACCCATAGGCCCTAAATTAGTTCCTTTTTGGGGTTCATATATAGAACCCTATAAGGTAACCCCAAACAGGAACTACTTTAGGGCCTATAGGGGTATTCCCCACAGATGGGGGTTTCAGAAAATAGGGGACCCTAAAATAGTACCCCAAATAGTAGGATCCTTATTATAAGGACCCCCAAATAAGGTACCCTTGACTTCGGAAACTCCCAGATGAAGCAGGGGGCTCGCAGGCCGAGACGACGGCGCTGTAGTGATACGCATTGACCCGGACCTGTTCTCAGGGGCTTAGAAAAGCTTAGGGTTTTAAGGGTTTAGGGTTTTGGGTTTTAAGGGTTTTAAGGGTTTTAAGGGTTTTAAGGGTTTTAAGGGTTTTAAGGGTTAAGGGTTTAGGGTTAAGGGTTTAGGGTTTAGGGCTAGGGCCAGTCAGACCTTTCTGAGGATCGCTGCACTGGCCTCGGATAACAATTCCGGGGGCAATCGGCCCCGAATGCCATCTCATAGACTTGAGCGCTTAAGTCTTGGGGTTTCCTTGGAGGTTCATTGGACTTAGAAAGTACAGTTATAAGTACCTTAATTGGGGTTATAAGCAATCATAGGTGTAGTTACCTTAAGCATAACCCTAGTTACTAAGTCCCATGAGCCTTTTTGTAGGGCTTGGGCGGCAAGTTTGCTGGCGTGGAATGCTTCAGGCTCAGGACTCAAGATGCCGAGCTTGGGAATTCACGGAGTGTGACAATCCCGATGTCTTGGGGTCGTTGATTGAAGCATTGAAAAATCAATTCAATCGATTCCTGAAGGTTTAAGTACTTATACATACACATGAGCCTGCAAGCAGCAGTTTCAATCTTCGGTTCGAGGCTTGAGGGGGTGAACGTAGAATGGAAAAGGCGCTGCAAGGCCCACCACTGTTCACATGAACACCGTAAGAAACAGAAGTGGGCGTTGAGGGTTTCCGGTTCGTTACGGCTTATAGCCAGAGATGGTCAGAGGGCCTTGCAGCTCCTGAAAGCTCATGAACTCACATATTTTTCATGTGTACATATATACAGATATTATTGTAGTAATGTACCTTAAATTATATATTGGGCCTGGCCATGGACGGCGAACAAGAAGCCGAGAATTCTAAATGATTGCCAAATTCCAGTCGTTCAAGCAAAGTACCCCAAATCTGGTACAGCTGAAGACCCTGCAGAAGCCTAAGATCCTAGGCCCTCGAACTTCAACGCTTTCACCCCAAACCCGAAAGCCCAAAACCTTGCCCTGCGACCACAGATTGCACCTCTTCCCGGTCCATGGTGTCCAGCACCATCTGTGCCGCCGTTGCACGCCCGGCGCGGGCGAGGAAGGAAAGAACCTCCCATTGCAAAGCTCAGAGCTGGCTCAGGGTTTAGGGTTTAGGGTTTAGGGTTCAGGGTTCAGGGTTTAGGGTTTCGACTCACGCACTCGCAACTGCAGGCATGGCAATAAGTGTTTAGGGTTTAGGGTTTAGGGATGGGTTTGCAGGTCTTAGCTGACTGGCCCAAAACCCAAGGAGATAAAAGTTGAAACTTTCAGAATCGANNAGTTGAGTTTACAGCCAATAAGTTAACGCTAAAGTCGCTTCCTCTCAACACCAGGGTCCCCTTTCGATGTAGGAGTGATGTGCTCTCTGCGGTTGCGGACACACTCCGCCCCTGCCCCACCCCATTCCAAAAGATGAAAGAGCCCTTTTTCAGCGCGGGCTTTGGGTGTGTGCCGGCAAGCTGGAATCTTAATGTCTTCACAAGACACCAGCAAACTTGAAACTCAACTCGTTCATAGCATGTGAATTTAGGTGTCAGGCTCAGGGTCTATATACCGAGCCATGCGCAGATTTCGCGCATGTTGTCTCTGTTGTCTCAGCCCTAAACCCTAAACCCCTAAACCCGAAACAGAATCTCTGATGCAAAAACAAAGCCGAGAACAAAGAGAGACAGAGAGAGAGAGAGAGAGCGAGACAGAGAGATAGATGTATATCTATATATACAGATATATCTATAAATCCGTATATATGCAAACGTGCGCGTGTATGTATATGTATGAATGTATGTATGCATGTATGTGCATTATGTATGTATGCACATATATATACATATGTAAATATGTATATATACATATATATATATATGTATATACATATGCGTATATACATATATATATATATGTATATATGTATATATGTGTATACATACACACCCTGTCAGACAGCCATGTCAACATGTCCTCTTCACGGTGCAACTAGGGGGCTGTAGTTGCGTAACGTGGCTGCGACTTCCATTCCACCAAAACCGGCTGCCTTCAATACCAGAAGAACAGGGGCCAGACTGTTGAGGTTAACGTTGCAGACTGACAGGGGCTTGGGTCCGGAGAGCACTTCTGCAGGAGGACGCTGCGTGAAGGAACTGTGCTATATCAGATCTTGTCGACAAGCAGAGAAGTTCACATGAAGGACTCCTCTGCCAAGCCAAGCTATCACGCCTGCGCTTGCTAAACAAAACAAAGCACTGCCAGTGCCACACCAAACTCTGATGTGAATATGAGTTACCTATAGTCTCCATTGTAGTCCCTCCCTTTGGTTTAACCAGTTATATAAGAAGGAATATATAAGGTATCCCCCAAAAGGAACTGCAATGGAGACTACAGGTAGTGCCCAGCGGAAACACAGCAACATTGCAGGAACCGCCATGTTGTTTCTGCGAGTCGCAAGATGGCTTCCACATCCACGGCACATGGCGACGGACCCAATTGCAGCAAGTGCTCCTGGATGTCAGATGACGTGTCAAAACCAACGCAGCAAGATATGCTACCTCGGCAACGGATCCTGGGCCCGGAGGTACTGATCAAAAAGCAACAACCCTGGCAAACAAAGCTGTTGTGATCGTGGTTGAACTTTTAGATGGCTAACAGTAGCAGTCGTCGGCCAAAAGGGAACTCCACACCTGCTGCTCAGTGACGGCTTCGCGCTTTCGCCGTGTCGGCGTCGTGTCGCCCGGTGTGCCATGGCCCATGAGGTCCGTGGCGGCATAACTCTGACGGTTTAGGGCTATTTAGGGATAAGGGTTTAGGGTTAAGGGGTTTAGGGTTTAGGGATAAGGGTTTTGGGTTAAGGGATGTAGGGTCTAGGGCTTAGAGTTTAGGGTACTTTCACGGGGTCTGGAGTCGAGAGGCTTGGGATTTCGGTGATCACCCTCGGACATGCCAGGCGAGTCTTTTGGTGCGTATGCTTGAGGTTTAGTGGCTCAAGGTTCATGATTTCATTGAAGGTTTTGGCCATCTAGTTCAGGGTTTCGCACCAAGAAAAGGTCTCGTAACAAGAGTGACTAGCAACTACTGATGTTTCTGGAGGCTGCATTTGCCCCGTTCAATGCTTATTCTTTTTGATTTGCGCAGTATGTGCTTCGCAGGGCTGTTTGTCCTGGTCTCACTGCATGTGCTCCACATTGCAAGCAGTACTGAAGCCTTGGTTTTGGGACTTCGGCGGGGTTGGCCAACAAGGAGTGCCTGGGCCGCGAATGAAACCTTTGGTATCCGTGTGAGGGGTGCTTCTAGTGGCTTGAAACTCTTCGAGATAGCGGCACATGCCATTGCAGAAGCATCAGATGGGAGGCTTGCACAGAAGTAGGCACGGCAGCACACAAATGTCCGGCCAATGCCGGAAAAAGTTCTCGCTTGTCCAGACTTCCTGCCGGATGCTCTCAGAATCAACCCCCCATCGAGCAGCCAAAGCGATTTCCAGCCTATTGGCCAAGGCCTGTTCCAGAGAAACCATTGGCAGGCTGAGTTCTCCAAAGGGTCCTACGTACCTACGCGACAGAATGTAGGCTCAGGGTTTCTATATTAACAATTACAAGTATGATTTGGGGAAGTATCCCCCAAACGGTACCTAGGACCCTTTGGGATCGGCACTCCCCCAGATCCCAGGAATGCTGTGAGGATCGGCTCGAGCTGGTCTTGCCAGGATGACCAGGGCGACTTAGCATCGGAAGGTTCAACTGTGGACCGGGTTTTTCGGGGTCAGGATGACGTCGAAGTCGTCTGGGAGAGGACACTGGGACGAGACCAGCTGCCTCTTGCAGTCTGATACCGGCAGCTGGCTGACTTCATGCAGACTTCTTGGTGGCGCCGCGGTTGATAACGTCTCCTTCTACATACCCAGCACGGAACCACCATGCCTTAGAAGAAACATACTGGTCAGCAAAGCCGAATGGACCCTGCTGCCTACATGCACAACATTCTTCTGTGTCTAGACATGCTTGTTAAGGAAACATCCAAGGAGCCGGAATGCCCGGAGCTCGTTGTGTACTGAACGCAAAGTGGAAGGGCTCACACTTCAGCTTGTCTGGCTAGGCAGTCGCAGCAGCCGTCTTCATGAAGGACTCGCTAGCCTGCCGCCAGAAAACCAGAAATTCGCGGTCACTGGAAACAAAGGTTATGTACCCGCAGAATAGTCTAGCCCGAAGCTTGAAACACCACGTACAGAAAGTGCTGACGGCAGCTCATCCCGCACTTCAAGGCTCTTCGCAGAACTGATCACCAAAATGAGTGCTTTTCTCTGCAATCCGGCGTTCGCATCGACGGAGCTCCAATGCTGAGCTTTCATATCTCGAATTCAGAACAGTCTATGTGTAGGTCTTCGAGACGAAGATACTTTATGGACCCGAATGGGAAGATCGGAAGATATGGCTGCATTGAAACCCTCAGTCCGAAATGCTGACACTCGGCCTTGGAACTGCATGCGCCGTATACACACATAGAAGCAAAGTAACACACATACCGTACATAACAGCAGATAGCCAAACATGTATGCACAGACATTGACCTTATGGTTAGATTTGCAAACCCATGATCTATGAAGGCGACTCGGCGTGGCATTGCAGACTACTCGACTCGCACCATAGGGTTTAACCCACTTGATCGCGAGGTCGTTGTGCCAAGGGGACCATGCTTTGGTTTCTGCTGCTCCTAGCGTTTAGGGTTTAGGGTCGAGAGCTTAACCTTTCGGGGCTTTCGGGCTTAAAGTAGAATCATTCGAGCTTTTGCGGTGCTGTAGCTGAATCCAAGCAGGGACCCCATCAATGTCCGGCAGCAATGAACTTCTTTGAGTTCAGGTAGCCATGGTCCTAAACCCAAAGCCCTCAAGCTTAAACCTTCAACCCTAAACCGATTCTAGCTGTCATCCACAGCATAGAACGTGTCTGTTCAACCCTAAAAAGCTTCTGCATAGAAGGTGTCTGACCCGAAGTACAACTTGTTGTTGTGCCACAGCCTCAGGTTCCCAGTCGCGGGGTTTAGGGTTTAGGGTTTAGGGCTCAAAGGTTATGCTTGGAGCTTGGGGACATACTTGCTCGAAATTACGAGATCTTACCAGGGTTGTCGACTTAGCTTTAGGGTTGAGTGTTTAGGGGCAAAGAGTCTGATAATGTTGCTTATATCGAATCCGAGGAATCCTTTGCCAAGTAGCGGCGCGGCCCTGACTGGGCCGTTGGAGACATAATGATACCTGGGTGGGCACTGTGTTTGGGTTTAGGGTTTAGGGTTTACCTAGCCAGCCCTACAGTTTAGGGTTTACCTAGTGAGCCCTACATTACCTTCGGGCAAACAACCTCAGCCCTGATGCACGGTTCACTCAGCATCGGTTCTGTGGTCTGTTGTTTGGAGGTGCCTGTGCAGTGAGTTTAGGGTTTAGGGGTTAGGGGCTAGGAATTTGGGGTTTAGGGTTTAGTGAGTTTAAGTTCGCCAAGGCATCATGTCACAATCCCATGCTGGAGTCGGCCTTGTGTTAAAAGAACGGCAGCCTCTGCAGGCGTTCAGCCTGGACATTCAGTCTTGACCTGTCCAGATTGCGCACGACGCCCTGAATGAATCCTAAATATGCAAGCCATAGGCGAAAAGTCACCGTCGAAACCTGTGTTCCAGTCCGTGCTGAGATGGACAGGGTATGGCTCCTTGCTTGGCTGTGTGCCGAAAACTATCGGGCTCATGCATCCCGTCGTCGCCCCATTTTGCGCTCACTTAATGAGTATGAAGGCATAAACGTGAACATATACATTATAAATATACGCGCATAGATGTTTGTATATATATATAACACATATACACGCACATACATACATACATACATACATACATACATACATACATACTTACATACATACATACATAAATACATCCATACATCCGTACATACATACATACAGACATACTTGCTTATCAAGAGAAGTCTATGTCTTGTCTTGGCCTGTAGGTTCTAGGAGTCTCTTGGAAGGAGAGGGCGTGAGGCATCAGGAAGACCAGCGACTGCAACAGGTTGTCAAACGTCACATGGGTAGGTCTCTAAAACAGGGAATGTAGTACGGCAAGCTTATAAAAAGGACCCTGAAAGGGACCCTAATTTGGAAACCCTAAACCCTAAACCCTAAACCCTAGAACTACCCACAGGAAGATGTCAGGTCAGACGAAATGCGCTTCAAAGGCGTTCCGACGCTGGTTCGATCCTACAAGTAGAGTGCCGTCCTCAGGTTGGATGATCTTGAACGAGGAAGCGGGGTATGTGAGCGGCATACTGTAGATGTTGAAGCAGAAGGCAACATCGCAAACCCTACAAACCGTGAGAGACAAAGCAGAATAGGAGCAAGGTTTCCCCACCCGAGCCCTGGACTACCTGACTACCTGCAACTAAGCAACCTTTGCTCGCCGTCCTCGTGTCGGCAGCCATAGACATGCCTGACACAAGGGAAATGTCGTGTCTACTAAAGCCTGGTCTATCCTGCCGTCGGCCCCGAACTTAGATCACCTTGCTTTGACTGTCTCAAGTTTGAACATGGCAAACCGAAAGTGACGTAAGGGGTGGATGTAAGGTCTCATGAGGACGACCTATCTTCCTAGCCATACTTATGGTTGGAGGCTTAGGGTGAGTGCTTAGGGCTTTAGGACCTCGGGATCAATTCCTCGGCCAATTATCACCCAAGACTTTTCGTCGCACTGCAGGCCCGGGTTCTTTAGCTTTCTGTTTCACACTATGGGCAAGGATGTTGCCAGAGTCTTATATCTACTTCAGAAAACACGGGCCTGCCTTGCGACGCACTCTCGATTTAAGCGTATGCGTGTGTAGATGTATGTATGTATACATACATACTAAACCCTAAGCCCTAAACTCTAATATACACATACACAGACTGATTGTGAGTTTCTCAAGTTACAACAAAGCCCCGGCCCCGGCAGAGACGAACCAACCTATGTGGACCCGGGATCTTAAACGCTAAACCCTAAACCCCTAAACCCTGAACCCCTAAACCCCAAACCCCTAAACCCTTAAAGATACCCCGCAGTACAGCACATGTCGAAGCGGAAGGGAAGGGGTAGCAGCATTCCTCACTCGGTGTAGGTATGAAAAACTATGTGTATATATACATATACATATATATATATATATATATATATATACACATACACACACGCACATCGAGCTGTCTATGTGTTAATTCGCTCGTTCTGCATGCGTGTGTGCGCGTGTGTGTGTGTGTGTGTATGTGTTTCATTTGTTGATGTGAGACTACAGTAACACACAGCTGCTTCAATGTGTATACAAGAAGATCTTGCGACCCCACGTCCAAAGCTCTGTGGCCAAGGCGCCCATCCTCGCATCCGAAGTACACCAAAGGGCCATCACCAGAGGGCCGAAAGGAGCGTATCTGGCTCGAGGCGTTGAAGCGCCACCTCTGCAAAATGGATGGGTTTAGGGTTTAGGGTTTAGGGATTAGGGTTTAGGTTTAGGATTTACGGATTTGGGTGATATGATCCTATGACTTAAGCTCTATTCGTTAGCTGCTGAGGGTTCTGGAATGTTCTGGAGTTGCTGGGCGCTCAGAGGGTCACCGGGTCATAAGTAGGAGAGCCCAACTAAAGAAGGGCACCATTTTAGTCTCCAGTCACAACCTGCTCACCAGGTCCTCTGATTTTTTAAGGGCAGGACACGTGATGATGGATTGCGAGTCTCAAGTTCGCACACGGCAGGCGCTCGGGTTGAGGGCGAAACCGAGAATGCTGAAGAAACTCCTGAGCCCTAATACCAAATGCAAAACCCTAAACCCGAAGCCCGAAACCCTAAACTAAACCCTATGCCCTAAACAAAACCCCTAAACCCTAAACCGAACCCTAAACCCAAAACCCTACACCCGAAACCCCAAATCCTAAACTAAACCCTAAGCCCGAAACCCTAAACAAAACCCTATAAACCCTAAACCAAACCCTAAACCCTAGACCTGAAATCCTAAACCCCGGACTAGTCGGCCGCTCCGTTTGGACTTATTATGGACCCACGGACCCTCTGTGCCATCCAGCCATCTGCGGGGAACGAAGGGAGGGGCCTTGCAGCAAACCTTCATGTGGGCCCCGTTTGGGGTTTAGGGCTTTTAGGGTTTAAGGCTTTCGGGGTTCAGGGTTTACCTAAGCTAAACCCTAAGAACCTAAAGCTTGAACCCTACAGACCCTAGACCCCAAACCTGATAATTGGACCTTAAATCCCGGATCCTAAACCCGAAACCCCGGATCCTAAACCCGAAACCCTATATGGTTTAGGGTTAGGGCGTTAGGGCTTTAGGGTTCAATCCCTCGTGCCTTTCGACCACGCGGGACCCAGTGGACTCCAGCGCATAGAATGCACCATCCTCAGGAACATTTCCCGGTCTTTTTCAGGGCTCCTTTACGGGATCTATATGGGTGCCTTCTTGGGTTAAAGTCCCTTTTTTGCATCAGGACTTGTGCAATCGGTTAAAGTCCCCTAAACCCTTATTCCTTCAAGAACCTATATGGGTTTCGATATGGGGGGCTTCTTAGGTTACAGTCCCCTAAACCTTTATTCCTTTAAGGGATCTATATGGGTTTCTGTATGGGGGCCTTCTTGGGTTAAAGTTCCCTAAGCCCTGATTCCTTTAAGGGATCTATATGGGTTTCTATATGGGTTTATATGTGGGGGCCTTCTTGGGTTAAAGTCTTAAGGATTAGGTCGTGCGTCCTCGACAGTCAACCAACGCTCGGCCTCTCAACCCAATCTGGCTTCTGAACCCTAAACCCTAAACCTTAAACCCTAAATCCTAAACCCTAAACCCTAAACCCTAAACCCTAAATCTGAAGCCAAGCCACATCGTTTCCGAAGAAGATGAGGCCCTTGGAAATCAGTGGGGCTGACCTCAGGGGCACTGCTTGGTAATCGCCCGATGTAAGATTCAGACAGTTAAGGCTCAGGGTTTGTATAGAGAGTTGACTGGTTTCAAGCCCGACAAGTCTTGGGAGATGATGAGTGGGACGCTTGCAGACCCTAAACCCTAAACCCTAAACCCTAAACCCTAAACGCTAAACCCTAAACCCTAAACCCTAAAGCGTCTGTACTTGAAAAGATAACTCGGAGCCTCCGTGCCCAATTAAAAACGAACTGAACTTTGTAGGAAAAGCTCCCGCTGTATACCCCTGAAGCGGGCACGGTTTAGGGTTTAGGGTTTAGGGTTTAGGGTTGCATTTAGGAATGGTTGACAGCTCATGTATCTGGCCAAATCTTGGGGCACTTTGATTGAATTGGCAGCAACCTTGCCCAGTTCTAACACTACCGGTGCAGAGAATCCCTGTCTTACTGTTTTCCGACGCAGCAGGCCATGTGGTCAGTGAGCCTCAAGTTTCAATGGGCACAACACGACGTGGATTTTGTGGTCTGGGCTGCTCACTTGCCTTGGGCTCCGAGCCCGTCGACGCCTTCTCAGAGTATTCGCCCGGGTCTTCAAGCACGCTTGGCAGATCTGTTGGCTCCGGGTGCGATTGCTGCTGTGCTTCCTCAGCACGCTGCTGCTGCATCCTTGCATACAGGCGCTTGTGGATATCACGCACCTGCCCCTTCTGGAGGAGGAAACCGCTGCACATCATGAACCCTGGCTCCTCACGGACATGCGCGGACGGGTCAAACCTGGAAAAGGTGCGAAAAGCCATGACTGTCCCGATAGCATAAACGGGAAGGACTATCAAGGCCGGCAGTGTAATTGCCATGCCATAGGTCCCCATCATCCAAACGCACAGAGCGATCAAGAAAAACCATATGGAATTCCACAGAAAACTCAGAGGACCACCGATTGTTTCAGGAGATGTCAAGAAGAAAGCCAGTGAGTGGATCCCTGCCGGGGACTCCACGTAAGCAAAGTTCATCATGCAGGCGACGCAGGCCCAACAGCTGAAAAACAGCGAAGAGACGCAGGCGGATAAGTACATCTGCTGCAAATGAATCACAACTGGCTCGCTGTCATCCTCCGTGTCAGGTGAACTCTGGTCGTAGTAGACAGGCCTTAACCGACCCACTCTCCTGTATCATTGCCATACTTAGAGGTTCATGGGACTTAGTAATTAGGGTTATAAATAAGGTAACTATACTTATAATTGCTTATAACCCTAACTAGGGTACTTATAACTGTACTTATTAAGTCCCATGAACCTCCAAGTAGCCATTGGGAAAACCAGCGCTGCGACAGTTGATGACTGCTGCCAGATGCCGCGCACGCCTTCTTTCACTGGGTTCTTGTTAAGGGATTTAATTTAAGTTACCATGATAGGGATCTACAGTAAATAATATGGTAATTTAAGTTACCATAATAAGGAAACCATATTATTTACTATAGATCCCTATTATGGTAACTTAAATTAAATCCCTTAACAAGAACCCAGCTTCTTTCAGGTATCGCAAGTCACCGTGCATCTCGGCATGATTCAATCTGTCCACACACAGGCGAAGCAGCAAAACAGGTGCACCGACTTCAGTCTAACAAGAAATTGTGGACACAACAGTCAGCCGCTTATCGAAGACCAAGCAGCATATCCCAGGGCCTTGTCCAATCCCAGCATTTTCGGCAGCAGGTAGAACGCCAGCCCCTTCCACAAGGGTTCCCTATTGCCTCCTAGAAGCACAGGTACCAATAATGCGAGAAGACAAGATCAGAGAACACCAAACGAACCTTGAACATTGTCTACCCTCCACCATGAAACACTAGGCCATAAACCCTACATCTAGACCACCTTCAGCGACATCAGCCCAGCACTGATCCAATGAAGTTGATACTCCTCATGCGCAGGAAAGTTCAGCGCCTGGAGCACCATCGTTTTGGAGCAGCGGGCACTATATGACCATCGGAGCCTGTTTATTCGCCGAAGGGATTAGATACAGTGTACTACTATTGCTATATTGAGGAACCCTATAAGGGATTATATGATTTATTCAGCATGATTAAGCCCTGACATCATGGGCGGAGGTGAGGGCACCGTGCTGGAACAGCCTTAGGCTTTTGAGCCGGGTGCCTTGCAAAGACATGCACTTCGACCCATACACTCGCACGAAGCAAACACCTACGTGTTTGCATATGTTTGTTTTTGCTGGGCCTTTCCCAACTGCAAGTGCCACTTTCGCATGTTTTAGGGGTTTGGGGACTGAGGGCTTATAGAGCATGGGACCCTAGGATTCAGCGGCTCAGGGCTTCGATGGTCTCTGGCTCCCCTGATCTTCCAAAATCCTTTAACTAAGGAATATACTTTAAATTAGAGTAGGATCCTTAATACGACTTGGCGTTAAGAATGAAAATGGGGTTTGGGGTACATTATTAGAAATATAACTACAGATCTATAAGGAACAATATGTTCATGATTATTCACGCTTTTTATCATTCCGGAAGTGGCATTGGGGTGCATGGCTCGGCTCGGGGTTTCAACAACCGAAGCCATGCTTGACTCGCGACGTCATGTCTCTATACCCTCGCACTACTTCAGGCCTATAGCATAGGGGCCCTATCAATCAGAATAGGGTTCGGTTCTTGTGAGGGCATACTAAAGTATAGTTAGTGTTATAACGCGGCCACTCCTAGGTTTTTCTAGAAAAACCTAGTATAGTCATAATAGTGTTATAACACGGCCACTCTGGGACACTGCTGCTATTGATTCCGAGCCTTATATAGCCCTACTTGAGGTCGGCCGGTCGCAGGACGATTGCTGACAGCCCCTCTTTCAATGCGAGGACAAAATCAGCCTTGCAGGCGCTATGGAAGCTCCGGCCTTTGTTCGAGGGGCTGTAACAATGGTGCTGCCATAGGGAATGAGCCGATGCAGAAATGCAGAAGCTCCGTTGTAACTGCACCTCGGTAGTGACCTGCATCTGTTTCAAAACATTTCCGACAAGCGGGCCATTGATGCTATCACCAATGCATCAGCCAAGTCTACATTGCCACCAACCCCGTGGGATAAAACTTCCTACTGAGGTAGACCCAAAACCCTACACTCGTAGCCAAGCCTACATCCTACCATTCTAAACCATAGCCCCTCCCCAAGCTATCCTGAAGCTGCAGACTATACCATAACTATAATTAGAAACCCCCAAAATAATATAGGTAATTATTAAGGCCTCTATATTAAACCCCCATCTTTCTGGGATACCGGCTGTATGGGTGCCTCTGTCTGGAAAGTCCACACCAGGGACCCATCGAATTCGGAGACTGCGTAGAAAGTTCCTCGAAATGGCGGCTTGGATGTTCGGGTTATGAGGGCTCTTAGAGTTTAGGGTGTTGTTGTGGTTTGAGGCTTGAGGGATAGAGATGACGTAGGGTTTCGATCTTCGAGTCTTAAGTTTGTTAGGGTGTCTTTTGCGCAGTTTTAGGGTTTCGGCGGCTCGGATACTTAGGCGAAGCATGCTTGCTCCGGCCGCTGTTGCAGCTGGCAGCACCCGATGACGGCTTCTTGCGCCACACCCTTGCTGGTGTCTGAATCCTTCCGATTATTCTTTTCTTCCTGCTTCGCTCGTAGCTGCTACTACTGGCACTCAATCTCACATGTCTGCCAAGGAAGGCATCCTAATTGTTACTACTGGTCATGGCCGCAGCTGAATCAGTATGGGATTGTGAACCGGGGCACCATTGTCGGACCCGAAGAAAATCTTCCCATCGTCCAGAGCAGGCGAGGACTTGATGGATGAACCGGCATCGAACTCCCAAACCAACTCGCCTGGAATCAGTCGTCGGGACTTGTTTCAGCTTCACTCCGAGGTTTGTGGGCAGGGTCTCGCTTGTCTACCCGGTTCAAGCTGCATGCTCACCAATCTGCTGCATAAAACATCCGCGCATTGTTCCTTACGAACATAAAGCTGGTACTCGTCGACTCGCCATGGATTTTAGAGACATGCCTGGGCAATAACACAGGTCGTTTCCTTCAGCAAAACCATCTACTCCCCGCCTGTCTGAAATCGAACCCGGACCGAAGGCACTGAGTAGTCGGAAGCTCTGAACGCTATCATCTCGACTTGGCATGCCATTGCAGCAACCGCAAACAGAAAACTACAGCACGGTTGAAAAAACCCCAGACAGATAAAGCCTTCCAGGATCCCCCAAAAGCCCAACATAGCCGCTGCTTGCACAAGAACGCCAAACCCAACATAGCTTTACCCTAAACCCTAAATCCTTTTTTCACAAGGGACTCTGCTGCTGCCCTTACTGCCCTAAATCCTAAACCCTTGGAACGTAGTAGCTTCGGGCCTGCCAGCGCACTCACTGCATAAAGCTTGCCATCAAGAGAGCCTGAATTTGCATGTAGTAAATTTAGGGTTTGGGCTTGAGGGGTTTAGGTTTTACGAGGGTCTTTTTTGCCGGAGGGTTGCAAGCTGAACGCTCAGATTTTGGGTGCTTTGAGGTAGTGCAACCGACCACTCTCGGGGGCTTGAAGGGTTTAGAATTGGGTGGATGGGCGTATGATGGGTTGACGCCGTCAAAGTAAACCTCCAAAACCAGGTGCTGAGCATTTGTGTTTTCTGTCGAAAGCCCGTTTAGAAGCTAGCAAATGGTACATGCATAGTCCCTTCCTCAGCTAAATTTTTTGAATGCTGGGGCAACTCACAAGTCAAGTCTGGTTCAATGGAAACCGCAACGCTGATTCTCTGCAAATTTCTGTAAGACACAAGTCACGGTAGTGCTTCTGATCATGCAGAACAAACCCGACATCGTAGGCCGTACTCTCTTCCCATGGGTTTAGATCTCTATGTCCTGCTGGGGGTGTCTCGAGCCCTTCTGAGGCTGTAGCAAAGGCTGGCAGGCTTTTCACCCAGACCCTAAAGTTTGAGATCTTTCCTTTTGAGAACCCGTTTTTATGGTTAAGTTTCTATCTGAAACCACGGTAGCCAACAAAGGTACTACGCTTGAGGGTCTAGGCAGGCACTCCTCATGAGCTTCAACTGTCACCATGCACGATTGCATGAACTCTTCAAGAGTTAGCATGATCTAACACTTTTTCAATGTTCAATCACCCCCCCTACCTACCCATCCACATGAACTCAACCTGTACCCTTCGAATCGGTAGCGTCACACCTGTTATATGCTCGTGCCACACCCGGACAGCATTGATGGACCAGGGGACCGAAGTAGACGATGAGGTTGAACACCTGTAGGGGTCGGTTGAGCGTGGTTAGCTTGCCAAAAGACTCTAACAAGTTCACAAGAACGAAGCACTTTGGAAAGAGACCACGCATGCGGCAAGGCTTGTGGTCTAAATCCGCCTTAAATGGTTGTCGGAGGCTTTGAAACGCTATGAAGCTTTGTTCATATTACACTGCGCTCCAAACCCCAAACCCGAAAATCAAGCCCGAGCACCTGAGACCTAGTCGTGGAACACTGGCCGACAACTCATTCCCACAACTCTGTCTTCGAAAGATCGCGAAAATCTTTGCTCCTGCTTGGCACGGAGGGTGGGACGCCCTGTCTGACTGAGGAACCAGCATGCATCCCTAAATTGAATCTCATAATTTGATAGTTACATGGAAAAAAAACCTCCGACGGTTCGGAGGTGGGTTTAGGGCTTAAGTTTAAGGGCGCGTGTCACAGAGTTTACCGTATGTTATCGGAACAATGAGCATAATTTAAGGCTTTGAGTGCCAAAGTTTTGTGAATGCTTGTTTTCATATCTTGGAACGATTGAAGTCAGTAACTACGGGACGAACTGAGCAAAACCAACTTCAACGCTGAATTTCACACGTGTGGACAGAACAGTGGCAACAGCAAAGCAACACAAGACTCGTGTGGAGCTCCGAAAGAGGTGTGGGGACCGGTGCTGTGACGACTGCCACGTGTTAACATCTATGACAAGGGTGTTCTGATTCTGGCAATCGTTCGTGCATCTCGGATGTAGGTATCTCGTACTGCAGTGCGCAACGCTGACGGACAATGCCCCTACGGTGACATTGAAGTCTAGATTTCGCGAGGGTATTGTCCTCTTGGAGGTTCCACTCTCGCCAAGCCACAACGGGTGAGCAGTGGACGGCTGCTTCGGTGCGGAATTCCCAGACCTGCTCCGCAAGAGCTTAAGCAAAGCAGTCACTACACTCTGAGCCTTAGGGCCAGGATGCAGCGACATACTGCTGATGGACAACATTCTGCATGACCCCAATATAGTATAGTACCATAAATCCCATAGTTTAGGTATATAAGGTCATGCAAGATTTTGTCCATCAGCCGTATGGGACCACCGGGCAGTCTTTCTCTGGCCAACTATGTCTATAGCCATGTGCACGAACAGCTGCAACATTTCAACAAGTGAACTCAGTTCATAAACAACTACACAGGAAGAGGCGATATGTGTATGCGTGTGCGCGTATATATATATATATGTATATATATATATATATATATAGCTTTCAGCTGTATATGCACATACCGTATGTGTGTATATATACATATATATACATACACACACATATACATATATATATATATATATATTCATAAGGGCTCAGATCGCCGGTCAGCCGGAAAACTGGTAGCCCCAGGCAAGAAGAGCTTGCCGAAACAGGTTTCTTTCCAGCCATTCCGCACTCGCCTTCTTGGCACCGCAAGGAGAGACAGACAAGGTCAAGAGCTCGACGGTCCCTACGTGCGGGCCGGGTTCTCTCCAAACTGCAAGTGCGGCGACTTGTTAGTCACCACGGTTCAGGACGTGGTAGACCAGTCAAGAATTGGTCAATGGGAAAGCAAGGATGGCGGGGAAACTCTTATCCCAGCCCAGGTGGACAGCAGTATGGCTACTGGCGTGGAGCCTGGCCTCGAAAGCCACAGGCGAACCAGTCCTATCAGGCTTACGACCGGAGGGCTCGTCAAGACTGGGGACATGTTGTGGAGCCTATGGGCACAGATGGTCCACCCTCGGTGGTCAACCTCATCCAGTCTGCCCTGAACCACACTCGAAAGACAGAACAAAGGGTGAGTACAGTTGCTCGCAACAAGAAGGAGCGTGCAATGCTCTGGGACAAATACCACGAGGACATGAAAGTCGCATACGCCCGGGAACATGCCAGATACCTGAAAGATATGGAGAAGTTGGAGCAGGATTTGGAGAAAGCCTTGATCGAACAGGAAGTGTCAAGAAGGGCACTCCTGGATGTGCACACGAATGGTGCGCCTACCATCGCCAAGGAAGAGGACACCAAGGTCGACCGAATGTTCGAGGCTTGGCGAAACGAGGAACAAGACGATGCACAAGGGATTCTCCAACGTGCTTTGACGGCAAGCGCGGCTCAGGTTCATGCTCAGAGACAGGCTGGACAAGGAGTTGGCACACCCACTTTTGGGGGAGCTCCACCCAGTGCTGCTCCGCCGGGCTTGACTCGTGGACTTCCAGACTCAGAGATGCCGGCGGCTCCTCCAGGGGAACTGCCGCAAATTCCTCAGATGACTGCGCATGTACCTCAACCAGGCCTGGGAGTAGTGGATACGGGCTACTCTGGGACTGGAAATGTGGATGTCAAAGGACCATACCATGCATCGCCAGGGAGTATGTATGCAAAGATGAAGCCCACATCACCGAGTGCACGTGTGACACCCTACGAAGGCACGGCCGACAATGGGGAACATCCAATGGTTGGTGCGGCCGACGAGCTCGCACAGCGTCTTGCTGTCAAGCGAGCAATGGAGCCCTTCGGAGGAGCACAAGCAGACAAAGTGGGGTTCCCTGAGCCAGATCAACCCCACAAAGCCTCCGGTCGCTACTCTCATCGACGACGACGACACGCAAAAAGACAGGGACGAGCATGCTGGGACCAGAAAGGATGGAAACGAGGGAGAGCCAACGTGAGTCACACCAAGGCAGTTTCGGAATCGCGGTTGCTTTGGCAATTCTCCTTGCAGGGGCTGTGGGGACCGAACGCAGTCGAGACTCCTGGGGTTGAGTCTCCTGCTGTTCCCTTTTCCCTCGGTCAACCTACTGGGAGAATTGCCGAAGCGACTGGGAAAGAATGTGAGGGTAGTCTGTACAGAGACCAATATGCTGTACAGCCTTTTCAGATTTCTTGCTTTTGTGTGCCTAGTTACGAAGGCTGGTCGGTGTCCTCGTTCTCCTTTACATCCTTCGTCAAGGGAAAACCGCCTGAGGGTGACTGGATTTGTCACTTCTTTGACGGTTATACCCATCAATCTTCCTCGCGGGGCATGAGGAGTTACTGGGTTTGTGACTTCTTCATGCCTCCCCCGCCTCAAGCCAGCATCAGGCATTGCAAACTGTTCTGTACCACCGGAATGCCCCTACGCATCACACAAAGAAGTTCCCACGTCCTCATGCCTTCTTCTGTTCTGCAGGTGGAATCCTGGAGCAGTTCCATAAAACCCTCCCTCAAGCCAGTCTCAGGGAGAGTCAATCTCCGTTCACCACCCGGATGTGTACCATGTTGTACTTGCCTGGGAAGTCATCTTTTTGAAGGCAGGTTGTTAGTTTTGGGTGAATGTTGGAGAGCGCGCAAGAATCGAATCGGTCGCTCAGGGTCGATCGCCTCCACATCACCCCGTTTTCGGTGTACATTTCTGCCAGCTGAGACACTTTGCACCGGTTGTTCTTCTATTCGAACAACAAACAGACGAGGGGATTTTTATGTCAGTGCGGTTCTTATAGCGGCGCCCAAGAGAGGAATCGGTGGCTCAGGGTCCTCCGCCGCAGATGACGACGCATTGCTCATCGTGCTAGTAGGCCTAGCAAGCGGTGTGTCACTTGCTTTTGGAGCCGTAATGACGCTATCTCTATGGCGTGTCATTCTTTCTGCAGCCCCAGGTCGGTCTCCAC